AAATGACGAATAATCGGATATTACAAAGAGCTTTGCTTCATCCTCTTCCTCCCCCCCCCACCCCCACCCCCACCCCGCTCCCTACCATCCTTCTGAATTTCAGTTGCTTCCCTAGTTGATTTGAAGCTGGAAGAGAATATGGAACCTATAATTATGATGAAACTATGATGATGATGATGATGATGATGAGGAACCACCTCCATGGCGAGAGACGAGTAATGCGCGATAAAGTGCAGCTACGTGCAGGAAGCATATGAAGACGATAATGGCATCGTCGAGAAGGCCTATTATACCCAAAACTCCTGATAGATCCAACATAAGAATGATAGAAGATGGAGATAACACCTTGTTAATATTCGAAGGGGGAAAGGAACTTCCTTTAATATCGAAAACCAGTTTACATATTAAAAAAAGGGCGAAAGAGAGGGCTTAAATAGTACCTTCTGGAATAATGTCGATAGGGCTGAGGACGTAGAGCACACTTAAAAACGTCTGCAAATTGAAGAGTCCATAAATTAAAAAAATTGCATAAGGCGATGTCTGATTGCAGATGAAAAAACTTAGTGTGGAATAAATTTTCCACCCAAAATATGCCTTCCTTAAATATATTGTGTTAGATGTTTTCCTGGAAACATAAAGTTCTTCTATGAATAATACTCTTCCAGTCCCAAAAAAAAGAGGCTTCCTTTAAAATTTATTTGGCCAAAAAAAAATATCACATTTTTAATAAAAGAAAATAATTTCATTCTTATTTCATGTATAAAATATGGAGTAGTTTTTAACAAATATCTCAAATGAATTCATTGTGCATTGATGACTTAATTGCCCATGTTGGATCCCACCCCCCACCAATGTTGAATATACATAGAACTGCAATGTGCATTGATGACTTAACTGCCAGATATACGCGTGCCCTGATGAAAAAAGGAAGAGATCTCTGAGGGTCTGTAATATCTCGTAACAATCTCCTGAGAAGAAAGGGAAGATCTTGCAATTTCTGTCACAGAAAGTATGAACATGTTAAGATGTTATTGTATTTCTTGACTGGGTCAAAAATTAAAAGTAATGACACCATCTACAGTTTACTGCATATATTATGGATCCGAATGTAATATGAGATCCGTACATTCAACACATGCATATAATAAGCATTCTTCAAAAGAAAAATGAATGTTCAACAAATTCAAATCCTTAAGATAAAAAATGAGTAGAAAATGCATAAATGTGAAAAGATAAAAGGAGATGAGCATTCTTTAGATGAACACTCTTTAGAGGAACGATGAGCAATAGTCATAAGAATTACAAAAAGTGTCACCAGATGCACATACATCTGATGTACGATACGGTATTACAATTTGTTGTAAAGTTTAAATATGTACATTACAATGAAGCATCTTTGTCATGCTCTCTTCACCGAAAAAGTCTAAAACAACTACAAAAGAGAAAGACCTCTATTCTTTTTTTTTCTTTTTTTTTTTTGAGGCAGAAAGACCTCTATTCTAAATACAATAAAAATGATTTAACAGTTTCACAAAAAAAATGTGATGTGAAAATACAAACTCCTACATATTGCATTCATAGAGTAAGTTTAGGATGACTTTCAAGCAACAAGTGTTACTCTTAAATCAAATGAAGTATTTTTACTCCTAAAAAACCGTGTTTGGAAGGAAAACAGGAAAATGATTTTAAGGTAGGAGGACCATCTTTTTGTTGTTATTAAAACACAGCAGATTTCTGATGTTCCAGAAGCAAAAGTGGCAGCAGTTAGTGCTTTTCCTAGAAAAAGTGCCCATCATATAAGATGCACTGTTAATACTTTGTACAAGAGATGAATTTCCTAGCGTGTTTGCCCTAGGTTTTAAAGTTGAGACTCATACTCAAGCCATGACATATTTTTAGGTTTATTTAAAATGGTCACATTCCGTTTATTTTCCATGCTATACTGATGCCCATCTGGGCGAGTTGAACTCAAGCAATAAAGACAAACGAAGCCATAAGGAGGACAAACAAAGTAGTAAGAACATGGCAATTCACAAAAATCTATACAGAAGTTTAAGGACAAGGACAAAGTAGTAATTACCTGACTAAGTCCACTGGTCTGCCGGCCAAACAAACCATTATATCTTTGAATTTTTGTAAAAACATCAGAGTCCTCAGGAGCTCGACGCTGCCTTGATAAATTATCTGAAGGAACCAACAGAGTGATCTGGCGGCGACACAGCGGACATTTGCACGGCTGGAAGGCTGGCCCATGATCCCAAACTTGTAAAATGCACTTGCCTACAGCCGAAGAAAAAGGTGAAACAATACATTGCAGAAAAAATAGAGTTTAAATAGCTAACGCTTCAAAGTGCAAGAATGGCTGCTTCGACTTCTCAACATACTCCATGCCTCCCTCACTACATAAAAGGTTCAATAACTTTTATTTAGGGATAACACACGAAGCAATTACCTACCTAGATATCCCATTTCTCATCGTGAAATCACAACTCATTGTTCAAGCACTTGACCTAATAACCGAATTTGATTGAGGTATATTATACACAGTACAATTTGTGACAACGATTAATTATGGTGAGAAATACCTAACGAGAACTAAAACATGATCCATTTATTAAAAAAAGGACCTTCAATATTTTTATCACAAAATATGGTTTTAAAAACATAAAATGCCAAAAAACACCCTAAAGTGCCAACACACAAATAACAACGACCCAGTTGGATTCCACGAAAGTAGGGCTCGGGAGGGTGTGTGCGCAGACCTTGCCTCTACCCGAAAGCTCAAGCTGCACATAAAGAAGGATCAAAAAGGGGCCAACACAGGTACGACTTAATTTTGTATAAGTTCCATGTTTTAGTCATATTTCGGTCGAATTCTTTTAACTATGATCACCTTTAAACCGCAATTTTAATCTAGTTAGTGTGTTGCAATGTTTAGATGGGCGAGGAGGACGAAAACAGGAGAGAACAAATGTGAACAATTGGTCCTAATAGAAATATTAACACACAGAGATGGTGGCGGCCGGCGGCTGCGGGCCTATCATTTCAATACCGCAACCCCGGCGGACCATAGTATTTGTGTATGTCAATCCTGGGTTCATCGCCTACGTTATTGCAGCAACCGGCCGCCATAGGCTATTAACTCCGGCAGAATAAAATTAGGTGCAACAATTCGATCCCAATAAGATCAAAATATCTTACCGTCCTAAAAATTATGAGTGAAATCCATACATAGAGAGAGAGAGAGAGAGGTACCGCAAAACCAGTGGGAGCAATTGGCTTGGCAAGGAATGTGGAAGGTGCCATGGCATATTGAGCAGATATCGTTCTCCGGCGGGCCGTCCATTCCGATCTGATCCTCTGTATCTCTATCTGTCCGGAATTGATGAGTTGATTGAACGGAGGAAGAAGAAGGAGAAGAAGATTGATACGGAGCAGATTTTAAAACTTCACTGCTAAGATTTGATATGGCGGTTTCTGCTTTCTCCTGGCCTCCGTGTTTCTTTTTTCTCTCTTTCTTCAACTATGGCGCCGACGATACACTAAATTGCATTTTTTGCCCAACCAAATACTATACCCCATTTTTTGCCCAACCAATTTTGTGCTACAATTTAAGTATAAAAACCAAAATGTAATGTTTATTTTCATTTTTGAGAACTAATCATCTCATTTTATGGGAAATGATAATTATTGTTCTAAGATCGAACATAACAGGTCGTTTTAGCCAAATAAATCACTCATTCATGTTAGAATTATTAATCATTTACTCATGAAATCCACTTCTACCCAGTCTTCGTGGTTTGATCCACACCACAGTGCTCACCTACTTCTACATTATTTACTCCACAATTAGTTGATTAACATGTTAAAGAATGATTAAGTAATTATAGAAGGAGGTGAAAGGGGGTAAACCATTATACTCCCTCTGTCCCTCATAGATCTTCTCAATAGCCCTTGTTCTTTGTTCACAATAGATCTTCTCATTTCATTTTTTTAACAATTAAAATACTACAACTACCCCCACTTACTTTATTTATTACACCTCATCCACTTCATTTAATACACTCCACCCATTTTTCATTAAGAGTATTATGATAATCTTTCACCTTTTTCAACTCTTCTTAAAAACCACCAAAAGTCAAAATGAGAACATCTTAGGGAGACGGAGGGAGTGCCATTTTGTGGAAAAGAAATTGGTCATGCTAAAGTTGACACCAAATGACAAAAATGCCCACGAGGAGATGAATTGAGAGCAACTCTAATGGAGGAAGGCAAAATGAGGTGGTATTTTCTTCATTTGCCTCCTCGGAAAGTTGTTTTTGCATTCTTCATAAGTGATTAAAGGGCTGTTTGGTAACTTCTGAATAGGTAAGCGCTGAACCAGTAAGAGGTCTGAACCATTAAGTACTGAACCAATAAGAGGTCTCAACCATTAAGAGCTAGTATATTGTTTAACTATTCAGAGGAAAATGTCTGATCAATTCAGATAAGAGCTCTTAACCATTCAGACTCTGTATAATACTTAACCATTCAGAGGCAAATCTCTTAACTATTCAGACATCTGAACCATTAAGAGGCTGAAACAAACAGTCTGAACCATTAAGTGCTGAATCATTCAGACATCTGAACCATTAAGAGGCTGAAACAAACAGCCCCTAACTCTAATGAGTGAAAGGTAAATTTCAAAAGGCAATTTAAAATGGTATTGATATCTCTTCAAATTGGAAAAAAAATTTGCTTTTCCATTTACCTTTACCATTGAAATGCAAATTAGAGGAAAAAGAAAAGAAAATTTAGAAGTCATATATTTTTTTTTTCCATGTTTTTTTTCTTTTACCTTTTCAATTTTGAGAAGGTATTGATACCTCTTTATATTGAGAGAAGGTATTTTACATCTTCATTTGCCTTCACCTTTGGAGTGCAAAATATAAGAAAAGAGAAGACAAACTTGAAATTTATGATTAATGCCTCCTCATTTACCTACTCCATTAGAGTTACTCAAGATATAAGAAGCTCTAGAAGAAAGATGAGTAATAAGTATATTTGAGAGAAAAGAATAAATTTCAATCAGAGAATCAGAGTCACATTTTCATCGTACATAAGAGAAATGATCTATTAATATTATATCACAACAAGTGAGGAAGTAAATGAAATACTCTGTAATATTTATAAAAAAAACATTAACAGAAACTTCTTATAATGATTAGAAAAATCTAATTACACACAAATTGTAATGGTGGAAACAATTCCAATGTAAAGCTAATTATTATAAGAGTTTTTTGTTGCGGAAGAAGCGCTTAATATGGCATGTTTGGAGAAGGGAAATGAGAATGCAAAGAGCGAGAGACAAAATGCTGAACCATGCCACTCTCTCATTCGTCCTCTCACTCACCTCCCTCATCTCTCCTTCCCTGCACCACCATACAATTCAAGTTACACACACCCTCACTTTTACACACACACACAGTATGTGTGGTTACAATTATACATGCCCGTCTAAAAGCCATTATACAGGTCGGGACGGTTCAGGTTTCTAGTCGTCTCGGTCGCAATTTATAAAAACAGGACATAGCGGTTTGGGAAACCACATAGTCCTACTTTGTCCTCGAATAAGATGTATCATGTGCTAAAAATATTCAAAAAGTACTGTGATATTTTAGTATACAAATCTTATAAAGTTGCATAAAGAAGTGATGTGGATTAATTAATATTTAAGTCTATAAACTAATGCGTGTGATTAAAATGGGAGTGAGACGTGAAAATTAAACGTAGCACAATATGCATTCATACATGAAACTTACCGAATTTTCAGATAAGCCAAATTCTCGTGTATGGCTTGCACGAGACCTTCAAGCTTCATCAACTCAAGTTCGAGCCCCTACAAAAGAAAGCTAGCTCAGACATATGACGATTCATAGGGGCAAACGCACAAATACGATATTGAGCAAGTCAATGGCTAGCCTCAGGGTGAGAAGTGATCGGACGTGACAGTCATTGATTGGTAACTGTTTTGACATTTAGTTGCGGCTACGCCCGGCCAATTAATGTCTGTCACGTTACGTCGCCCGTTCACATTGTGGAGTTTGTTAATAATAAATTACTTGAGTTTTTTCTTTCTTTGCAATGGAGTCCCAATCCTTGGCTGCAATCCCAACTTTGATATCAATGCCCACAGTTGCAGCCTTGTTGTGACTAGTAGTGGTGGTGGGAGTGGCCATCCAAAAGCAGACCAAGTGGTCACCAGACTCAGTTGTTGTGAATGCAAATTGACCATGTGTCACCTTCTCTTCATGGTGGAGACTCCTTCCAAATGGTGATGTCACCTTACACACACACACACACACAAATAAAACTTTATCATTTTAACTTGGATCATGTTACAACCATACCACAAATGACATTAAAGTTAATTGTGTTACAAAAATTTTTCACAGATAATAAATTAAATATCTATGAGTGGTTGTTTCTCGTGGTGCCATCATTGGATTATGGTGACATTTTTTTTAAAACTTTTAGGAAACTTCATTTACTTTCCGAATAAATTGCAATTACAAAGAAATTTAAAAGATATGATGAATTTTTGAACGATACCAAACTACCATATAAATATATTAAAAAATTCTCAAACAAGTTATATATGATGAATTTTTAGAGACAAATATGATGAATTTTTTTATTCAGATAAATTAAAAAAATATTGCTATATTTGATAAGTATACGATACTACTCCCTCTGTTCCAATTTATGACGAACGAAGAAGTATTGAAAAATAAAATTTACATATTTAATAAGAGATGACATTAGTATATTATTTTATTAAATGAATAACAAAAATGAGTAAGAAAAATATATTAAATTAAACATGTAAATAGAATATAGACAATTTAATTTGGGACGAGAGCTTAATGTTTTTAAAATTTATTTGCACCATTCAAATTAAAAATATCGCAAACGTTAAAATTGAGTCATTAGTTACAAACACCGTCCCCAACTAATAAAGACTAGGGTCCTGTTTGGGAATAGCGTTAGAGATTAGCGTCAGTTTTTTGAAAAGGCTATCTACGGTCAACTTTTAGCGTTAGCGTTTTCAAAGTAATGTACACCGTTAAAATTTTATCCAAAACGCTAACGCTAATCTCTAACGCTATTCCGCTCTAGATTGAGTCCAAATTTGAATTGCCAAGAACTAAATCGGATTTTATAAACATTGTTTTTAGTCATTGTGATTTGCATATAATCATATATAAACATTCATTTTGATTTTCAATTAATCTCCGACAAAGAAGCGATTACCTTGACGGAGATGGCGGGAAGTGCGGCGTTGCCGGCGACGTGCTCCTCCTCGTGGATGACGTAGTAGTCCGCCATAACCACCACGTTACTCCGGATGTCCTCCGCCACGCACTTGGTCCCCTCCCCCGGCAAGTCCAGCCACACTGCTTCTCCGGTGAGTAGCGCCGCCGCCGCTAACACCGCCACCGCAATCGCCGCCACCAGCCTCATCCTCTCTCTCTCTCTCTCTCTCTCTCTAGAGCTTGAGTTTGTGAGATCGACTTGAGACGTGAAGCAGATACAGGATATCTTGTTTGCGATCGCGAGTGAGATTGAACGCGCGGGGGTGAGAGTGGGGGATAGCAAGTAGTGAATTGCCGCCACGCAGATGGTTCGTTACTGACCAATCATAGAGCGTCTTCACGTATGGTTTTCCACATGACAGAAAATACGGATGCAGAAGGGGAAATGTACCCACGCGCCATGTCGGAAAGTGCTACTCAGAAATCAAACATCTTTTGCCCTCTGCCACAAAATTAAACATACTTGTCTTTTTCACCATCCTAAAATTTAAATGACCCTTTTCTTACCTCAACATTATATTTAGTTCAAGAAATTTGGAAGAAAAAGAAAAAATAAAATGATTTTTTTTATTTCCCACACTAAAATGGGAGAAATATGATTTTTCCTCTTCTTAGTATATTTGTTTTCTCATTTTCCCGTATCTAACCAAACAAGAAAAGTTGTTTTCCACTTCATTTTCATTTCTTTTCCCTTTTTAAATTGCTTGAACCAAACATAATGTAAGGGGAAAAAATTTGCAATATTTCAAATTTTAGGAAAAATCATCCAAAATAATCTAAACTTTACTCGATCTTTCAAAAATAATCTCACCTTTTAATGTGATACATAATAATTCCAACTTTACAAAAATTTGCAAATTTTGGGTCACCGTTAAGTTGCTAACGGCAGGTTAACGGTAACGGTCTATTTTGCGCAATAAAATGAAAGTTGAGATTATTTTTGATAAATTTTTGTTTTTAAATTTTTTTTTGAAATATTCATTAAATTTTTTAAAATTACTTTCTACCTTCATCATTTTTTTTTCTTTTTTTAAAGACTAGTCTAACTTTTAAAAAATAAAAATAATAGATATAAAAATAACGAAAATGAGAAAAGTAACTAAAACGATACATACGTAGTAATTAATAAAATAAATAAGGTAATCAATATAAAGTAACTTGAAACCTGTAAGAAATAAAATAAAAATATACAGAGCGGTGGGTTTTAATATTTTGCGCACGATATAAAGTATAAATGTACCAGTACCACTTCTTATTTTTTAGACAAAAAATAATATAGAATAATTCAAATTTTACTGGCTGACCTAAACTTTCAAAAAATCAATACATTAAGACTCTGTATAGTGTGTAACATGTTAAAACTACGACGGGAGTAATTGAGCATCTGATATCTTTCATTAAAAAATAAGTGATTATATAATATGTAGGACTTCATGCCCTTAACAAGGATATGACTTTAACTTGAAGTGCTTGGAAAACTATGGCAGGAGTAATTGAGCAGGCATCTTGTGTTATGACACTTGTTTGTGTGCTTTGTGTGATTGGGCACTTTTGCTTGCCGTGCTTTTTTCTACATTTTCTTTCACATTCATTTGTTCTTTAGTTGTGTGCTTTCTCCTTTTTCTGTGATATATGTTTTTTTTCTTCTATACACTTAGTATTTGTTGTTTGAACAAAGGTCTGTTAAAAACAATCTCTCTACTTTCAAATAAGAACAAGGTCTGCATACACACGTTTTCCCGGGTCTTACTCTTGGTTGTTGTTCTTTTAACGACCTTTACGTCGGAAACAAAAATACATTCAAGTAAAAAGGCAGTCGACGTGTTGAGAAAATGGTTAGAAAAAAAAGTTCACAAAAGGAACAGTAACAACAACATTACCCCAGTGTCTTAATGGTTCCCACCCATTGCGGGGGGTAAGGGGGTCAGATGTACGCATAAGGAACAGTATTGCATAAAAAACTAGGGTGAGAATGGAGAAATGCTGAAGTCATAAGCAGAATAAAATATGCATAAACCTTATATTTATGGACCCATTAAAAGAATAAACTAGTCTCAAGTGATTTAAAAAAATAAATCCATAAACAAAAAGTTTGTGTATTTTGTGATTTATGTGTTTCTGAATTTAGTACTTCTCAGTGAAAATGTGTTAGGATGAAACAATACATTTAGTGTTAGAGTGCTTCACACTACGTTACAAACTGTTATAATCTAGAGAAAGTATTTCACTCGTTCATCTCTTCTCATTGCGTTATATACAGCTCGAACCTGAAAGCAATAAAAAAACAAATCACAAAAATGGTGTTTCTGCGTGTAGGGCAATGGTGTACGAGTTGGCAACACTATGTTTGGTTCAAGGAATTTGAAAGATAAAATGGAAAAAAACAAGGGGGAAAACAACATGTTTGGTTCAAGGAAATCAAAAGAGAAACAGAAAAAAATGAGAGGAAAAAACAGCTTTTTAAGTTTTGTTAGAGAGTAAAAGAAACCGAGAAGACAAAATATACAAAGACAAGGGGAAACAAATTCTTCCCACCATTTTGGTAAGGAAAAGAGAGAGAAAACTGTTTTCTTTTCTTTTTCTTCCAAATCCCTCGAAACAAACATAGTGTTAGTGTGTGTGGCTCTCAAACAAGATACTCTATTTGACATTTTAGCTTTAGAGTCTTTTCTCTTCAACTTATTCTTATTAGAATCAGTTCGGTTCAGATCAGAAACAACTTTAAATACAACTATGTCTAGATCACATCATACCAGATCAGAACTTATTCTAATCAGATCATAATCATTCAGACACACATGCAAGAGAGAGAGAGAGAGAGAGAGAGAGAACCTGTTCGCTATTAATGACAAGAATAGGTCCAATATTCACGGACACGTACTTGCCTCCGGAGGAATCCTTCTTCTTCACCTGCCCCTGTAAAATGTGGGGAATCAAATTGAGACTTTAATATTGAGACAAAGGGAGTAGATATAGTAGCAAGTGTAATAGGATTACTACTACCTGAATGATAGATTCTTGAATGACTGATTCTACTGCAACAACCATAGCCTGCACAAATTCATCACCTCCAGTTCCAATAGCCGTAAACACCCTTTCGGTCGGGTAGGAATTCACCTACACATTATGGCTATATTTTGAATGCCGCAAAAATGTACCAAAATAGAAAGAAAGAAAAAAACGCCAAGTGAAACTGTCAGACTCTATCCCACATCGTCATTACAAAAAGTCAAACCCGAGGATTGTGCCCTTTTGCAACCCTTCTTTGCCATTTAAGGTAGGTTCCAAGCCTCCTAAGTCTAGAAAAATTTGGAGCACTAATTATAGTAAAGATTACCTTTTTATCCAAAACGAGCCACTCGTTAGTAGAATCGTCAGGAGTAGTGCCTCCAATGACTACATTTGTGGTTTGTCCCACCCTTCCTTCTGCCTTTGACACTTCTGCAACCCCATCAATATTCAAGTCTTTACTAGCAAAGGCACGAACGAAATCACGCATATACGCACTAGCAACTAGATCCAAAGCACATAAAGAATACATTCACAAACTATAGACTAAGGCAAAAAAAACTCACAAGCTAAAATTACAAACAAAGACCCAAAGTTCTATCCAACTACTCTAATACTAAGTCTCTCTTAGCTCAAAAAAAAAGAAGAAAAATCACATTTCTGTTTTTTACATTGCATTTTCTTGCCTTTTCACTCCCTTCTGTTTTTTCCTTTCTAACCAAAATTTCTAATGATTTTCTTTTCCTTCCGAGTGTAAGTATAATTCAGACTCGTATCATTCATATGCAAAAAAATGAATTGGAGTCGGAGAATTCAATTCTATCAAATTCAATTCTATGGAATTGAATCCCATAAAATTTCAATTCCAATTCCATCAATTCTGTATACCAAACGGACCCTTAGTTTCAATTCAATTTCAATTCCGTGAACTCCATGTACCAAAGGGACGAGACTAAAAGCTCTATCCAATCACTTAACTATAATCATTTTCAACGAACTAAGTCTATAGATAAAATTAAATAAATAAATAAATAAAGGTCGGGTCTTTGCTCTTTACTGCGCAATCGATATCCATGAACAGATTGAATTAAACCAGAAAGCAGGAGATAAATGAAGAGCGAGAAGCAGAATTAAAGGAACCTGAAATTGCCTTAAGAACAGCTTCCTGCGGAGGATCTGGATCTGGTTCGCAGTCATCTGGAGACGAAGACGGAGCGGTGGCTTCTTCGTCGGAGTAATTGAAGTTGTGGGTCTTTCTCGATAGCAGAAGACCATGATGGTTTCGGGCCTTGAAGATTTTACAGCCGCCGGCGGGGCATGGATTTCGGGATGAGAAGAATGAAGGGGAGAAGAAGGGTCGCCATGGCTTTGTGAATGAGAAGATGGTTCTAAGCAGGGTTGTAGGGATAGACGCCATCTGTTTTGCCTTGCAGCAGATGTGGAGGGATGGTGTTCTTCATAACTTCCCCAATTCTTTTAGGGCAGGTCCGGTGAGTTTAGGAGATAGTTTAAATCTATCCATAACACATTTATTTTTTACTTGTTGGTGAGACTTGAAAAAATTTCGAATTTGATATCTTTACATATCTCTAATGGATACCTTAGATTAGAAATATCCGGCCTAGTCTACTAACAGGCCGGCCTAGTCTACTAACAGGCCCAACACGAAAGTCCAATACAAATTTGAGCATGAATCGTGCTTGACTTGGGAAGTAGACCCTACAGGTACTTCGGATCGAAGGAACATAGTCTACCATTTGGCCACGCTCGACAACTGCCTGCCGGCATGGACTCGACCTTGTCACTCTGCCCTGACAGAGCGGGCTCAAGTGTTAGCGAAACCCACACTCGACCTCTACAGAACTCACAACTGGCCTCTAACGTCACATGACTTGGGCACGAAATCACGACCTGCTTTGGATTCCTACATTCGTGGGCCCACATAGGGACATCTCCATGAGTAATGCACCCGTACAACATCTCAATGCATGTATTAGAACATATGTTCCTTATACCACGTCATGGACCCTGTACCTAATGCGCCTGACATGGGCCTTGTCGTAGACAAAGGCTACGTGACAAACAAGTGGAGACATGTAACTTGTATATAAGATTATATAAGCCCCCTTCCACTTCAAGGGGATGTATCAGAATCCTTTACTGTAATCAGTACTATAATCAAGAGCATACTTATATTCGG